GGAACAGCTCGCCGCGCTGCAGTACCTGCGCGAGGACGGGCACTGGTACAGGCGGTTCACGATCGCCATCGGCGGCGATGAGCGCGTCAAGCGGGCCTGCCTCCGCGGTGCTCGGGTTCGTACTCGTCCCCGCCCCCTCCCCGCCGACCGCGCGCAACCCCGCAAGCGCCGCACCCGCCTCGGTGCCGACCAGCGCCCCCAGCGCATCGCCCGCCGCCTCGGGGTGCGCCGCGACATCCGCCAGCAGCGCGCTGTAGAGCGCCTGCCTCCGCGCCGCGCGGTGCGTGAGGTACGCAAACAGCAGCGCAGGCGCGATGAGGAGGAGCGCGTATGCACGGCGAGCGAGGAGGGCGTCGAGCGCCGCCGCTACGCTTCCGTCGTCCCCAAACTCGAACGCACGGCCCCCAAACGCAGTCAGCGCCCGAACGAGGAACGCGCTGTCCTCCGCGGCCACCGCTGCGCCGAGCACCTCCGCCGCGAGCGCGCGCCCGAAGGCGCGGATGCGCGCGGCCGTTGCGGCGGGGGTGAGCTTGCTGCTGCGCGTGGGCTCGGCTTCTTCCGGCACGATGCGTTCCCCGTCGACCTCTTCATTCTGCGTAGCTGCGCCTTCCGTGGATGTGAACGCCGCCTCCTCGCCGACCAATGACCCGAGCACCGCACACACGAGCGCCGCATCCCCCTTCACGGCCCATCCACCGTGCACACACGCGCCGAGCGCATCGAGGCCCGCGTCGAGGAGGTCTGCGTGGAGGCGAGGAGTTAGATTGGTGTTAAGGGTAAAGGAAGGAGGAACAACTCACCACCCCCCGCTCCACCCGCCCCCTCCAACGCCTGCCGCAAAAGCCCCGCCGCGCGCCGCGCCTCCATATGCAGCAGCGGCGCCGCGTACTTCTTCTTCTCGTGCCTCTCCTTCTCGTCCTTCCCAGCCTCTACCTCTGCCTCTGCCTCCTCTGCCTCTGCCTCCACCCCTCCACCACCACTCTCCCTCCCCGCCCCGCGCACCCCCACCGCACTCGACGTGGACAGCGCCCCCCACACCCTCCTCACCTCGCGCGCAAACAGCCTCGCCCCCGCCGCGCCCTCTGTCTCGCGCGCGAGGGCCCCACGATCTGCTTCCTGCCCACCCCGAACACGCCCCGCAGCCCTCCCCCGCCTCACAACAAACACCGCACACTCCAGCAGCGCCCCGACGAACGCCGCACCGCCGCGTGCGCGCGCCACGGGGAGCGCGGTGGTTAGTGCCGGCGCGGGTGTCGGTGCGTGTCTGTCTATGTCGACTAATTCGAATTCGAATTCATCCCGCGCACCGTCGTCGTCGTCGTCGGAGGAGGAGGATGGTGAAGCAGCGGCAGGCGGCCCCCCAAGCGCCGCCCAAAACGCGTCGAAGAGCGTGTGCGTCGGGGCGAGGAGCTGGTGCGGGAGGCGGGCGTAAGCAGACGGAGGAAAGGAGAGAGATGAAGAAACAACGAAGAAAATAAATAGAGGGAATGGGACTCACCTCCTCCGGCACACTCGCCACGACGACCACGACGCTCGGGTACGCCGCCACCGGCGCCCCGCCGCACGCGCGCGCGAGGAACTCGCGTTGAAAGAGAGCGTAGTAAGAGGGGGAGGTCGGAGGGGATGGAGGGAGGAGCCAGGCGGTGGGGGTATCTGTTGGGAGGGGTTAGTGTTTCTTCGGGAGGACGATAGGAAGAAAGATAAATTAGGAAGGAGGGAAGGAGAGAGGCAACGCACCCCTCAAAAGTCCCAACACGCCGCCCCACATCGCGCCCTGCACGCCCCCGTCGCGCTCCGCCCACGCCGCGCGCAGGACGCTGCGTGCAAGGGCGGTGGTGATTGACTGTGCTTGTGCGGCGTCGTCCGCGCCTCCGGGATTCGCGCCCTCGACGTCGTCGGCTTCATCATGTGCCCCCTCAACCCCGACTTCACCATGCGCACCCCCGACGGCACCCGTCTGCATACGAGCTCGAGGAAGCTGGAGGCGTGAAAGCACGGCAGGCACGGCGGCCCACGCCGCGCGCCGGAGGGCGGGCTGCGCGTGACCTAGGGGTTCTTCTTCTGCGTCGGGGTCGTGCTGTTCTCCTTGGGCGCCTTCATCCGAGTCTTCATCCGAATCAGCGTCCCGCTCATGGGCGGAGGAAGAAGCGTGCGCAGGTGAGGATGCGGCGTTCTCATCCCGCAACGCGCTCCACAGCCGTGCGCTCGCGAGGAAGCCCGGCAGCGGCGAGGACGCGTCTTCGGGCATAGTCTCTACATACCTTAGTTTAGTACTGTCGTGCAATGAATGGACGCACTCACCAAGCATATACCGAAGCGCACCAAACGCCGCGATGCGGAGACGGGCGCGGCGGTCGGGCTCGCTTTCCTCGAGCTCGTCTGCCTTGCTTCGCGGGAGATCGGGCTCCACGCGGCCTGTGGGGCGCTTGACGGGCGGGCGGTTTTTGTTGCCCGTATTGGGTGGAAGTGGATTCGACGAGGGCGCAGGCGGGTTAACCGCATTGTAAAGCGCATCGGGATCGAGCAGCGCGCGCTCGAGAAAGGGGGCAAGGACAGCGGGAGTAGCCGGTGTGCGTGCGGCGGCGGCGATGGCGGCGACGGCACGGTCGGGGTCGTGTGCGGCGAGAGCCCACGTGCCTGCTGCCGTCGGGTCGTCGTCGGCCGACGAAACGAGGGATGGGCGGAGGAGATCGATGCGGAGAAGGGCGGCGTGGACAGAGGCTGTGAGGGCGCGGATGCGGCGGTCCGGGTGGAGGAGGTGCGCGGGCAGGTGGTGCAGCCATACAGGCAGCATCTCCAACAGTGTGTACTCATTGCCATCTTCCTCGCTCTTGGCCGCCGCCACCCATCCCCCCAATAGCTCCTCCAACGCCCTGACCTTCGTCACCGGCGCCTTCTTCCCCAGACTCCGTAGAACCACCAATAAATCCGGTGGTAGCCTATGCGCGAGCCCGCCCTCGTCCAGAGGATCGCGCGTCGCGGGCGCGGGTTTCGACGGCGGGATGTACACCTTGGCGCGCGGCGGATCCGACCGATGCGCCTTCTTGCCCCCCTTGGGCTTTTTCTCGCGAGTCGGAGGCTCCGGATCGGCGGGCCCAGCAGCTTTGCGGGCGTGCTTCTTGCGCGTCCCGGAAGAGGCGGACGATGATTTCGGCGGCATCCAAGTGAAAGAAAAGTAGACTCGGCGTCGAGGGACACGGCGAGCGCGAGTCAGCGGGCACGTGATAGCGCCCCTTACGGCTTCCGCAGTACACAAGCCACAACAAATTCAATGGTTGAAAATTATGGATCAACCCAAAGCGCTGGTGAACACATGCACGGTTCGATTCTGGGTCAGGTCCACAGCTCTTCACTGAATTCCTTCTCAATGTTCTCATTGTTCAGAAAAGAAGTGGACTTGGAATAGGGTCGTTCACGGTAGACTCGAACCAGTCCAAATCCTCGAAGATCGAAGACAGTCGTTCGATCAGTGATGGATAGGGACTGGAAGATAATCACGCCATTTAGTACAGTCGGGAGTTGCCGAGCTCTTTAAAAAACTTAGACAAAATTTCGCGAAAAGCTGGAACATCGACCTCCGCAATTCACTAATACTAAGAGGCAATATCGTAGATATACAAATCTTAAGACACTCTACGTTCTCCGAATTTCGATCCGAGCAGATTTGACCGCTGTAGAGCGCGATTACCGGCGGCGCGCTGACTCAGCAAATCCCCGCCCAAAAGCCCCTCAACGCGTCTCGACGCGCCATCACAAGTCGAAGCCTGGAACTACTTCAAAACGAAATAGATTCTCAAGGTACTCATCGAAGCTTTCAAAATTGTGCTCCCCATCCTCTGTGGGCCTGGTTAAATGGGCCTCCACCACCACTTCCTTCCGACATGCTTCACCGATGATTGGTGCTTGATTGGAGCCCGGAGACCCATTCTGGCTCGTCGAAGATGTTGCGGGTGGCCGTCTCCGAGTATTAGACTGCCGCGGGGGCGCGTAGCGAGTCTTGAGAGGTGTCGGTGTGGTATACCCATCTCCGCTTCCTAGCACGACTTCGGGCTGTTTTCGGCGCCGTTTGGGGGTCTGCGGCACATATTCCTCGTCTTCCGGGGCTTCCCTGAGGCGTCGAAAGCCCATCAGGTGTGAGTGTAGGTGCAGCGAAGAAAGAGGTGGATGCACGGGTACAAGGAGATGATTGCGGTGAGATTGCTGAGTCACCAGCGCTGCAATAGTAATCGCGCTCTGCAGCACTCGAATTTGCTCAGATCGGGATTCGGAGAACATAGAGAGTCTTAGAATTACAATCCCTACGAGACTGTCTCTTACGATTTGTGAATTGAGGAGGTCGATGTCTGGCCTTTCACGAAATTTTGGCTAAGACATTTAAAAGTCTCGGCAACTCCCGACTGTACTAAATGGCGTGATTATCTTCCAGTCGCTATTTCACCGACCGGTTGATCGACTATCATCAATCTCTCGGTTTTCCGAATTGCGACTGGTTCGAGTCTACGTTCACGGTTCCCTTTTTCCGGCCCTTTTTCAGTTCCTTTTTCACTCCCTTTTTTGTTTCAAGCTCAGAGAATAGTTGGATTAACCTATCACCTACTTAGCATTTGGGTATCAGAATATATGTAAAGGATGGAGTTTGAATTGAATGTATGGTCAACCTACAGTGGATCTAGTATCTACTAAATGCAAGGAAAAGGAAGCAAAAAAGGGAGACAAAAAGGAGATCTTGTCGGGGGGTTTCACAGTAGCCCTTTTTCCTTCCCTTTTTTGCCTCCTTTTTCACTCGATTTCCGTTGTTTCTAGACTTGGGGTTGACTTTTTTTCCCTTTTCAAACCTTTTTACATACAAAAGTTGAAAAGGGAAAAAAAAAACGGGCCAAAAACGAAGGAAACCCGAGAAGTGAGAAAAAAGGGAGAGAAAAAGGAGCGGAAAAAGGGCTACTGTGAACGACCCTAATCTGTCTTGGTTCAGACCTACATTACATCAATTCATCCCTGTTGATTTGGTAGCACAATGGTAGTGCATCTGCATCAATTGTAGTGCCGCTAGGAAGTTACGCAGAAGATCCCGGTTCGACTCCGGACTCGGTCGTTATATTTTTTCGTGCTCCTCTCAATTCTTCTCTGCAATGGCTTAGCCAATAAGGGGGCAAGTCCATTAAATCTTAAGTACCATCCAGCATTGCAATGGTCGTAAATGTGAAGCATGGTTGTCTTAAGTCGGCTCACACTAGTTGAGATTGCAAGTTCAACCAAGTTCGGGACAACCCGCTAGTGCCGTGTCCTCGGATCTCGGGCCGTGGCCGCCGCATTTGTTCCAACTTCCTTCCACCAATGTTCCACCACCACAAGCTACCACTTCAGTGCCACAAAGCGCAATTAATGACCTCTGAACCCACTACACAAACTCTCTCAAAGCCCTCGACTGCCACCAGGGATCTCGTCCCTTGTCGACGCATTTTTCCCCAGTCTTTCTGTCCAGGAGAGCACCGGCAACAACACCCTGGATCGAGGAACTGCGGCAAGCCACTCGTCGAAGCACATAGCGGATATGCTGAATCGTTGCTGTCGCGGCGCGTAATGTCCCCGCTTTTGCTTCCCCACTTTCATGGAACGCTTGTAGTTCCTGGAGCAGTTACCGAAAGTGTTTCCAGCGCTCAGCTTTGCTCGCCGGCAGTGCGCACGACATCGAGTCGGTGTTCCTCTCACAGCAACGGCCTATGAACCTCCCACGCGTGTCAGCAACGGATTGTGTCCGACGAGGATATCGAGCAGGATCTCGAGGCCTCAATACCGCAGCCGTGAAATGGGTGGCATCCGACAAAGATGCCGACGAAGAGCCGGAGAACGACATAACGCTCGTCTTCCTCCATCATGCGCCGCTCCTTCGAGACCCTCCCCCCAGGACAGTGTGGTCACATCGATGACTCGAGAGAAACCTTGAGGTGCGGCAGCCTCTGAAGTACCCTATACTTCGCGCTGAAAAGTTCGCATAGTGTGGCACTCACGCCCCTGGCTCCCCGTGCACCGTTTTCATCCAGGATCTAGCTCTCAGGATTCACCAGCAACATCCTCCGGGCTAGCCGGGAGGCAGATGCATTGAAATCTTGACGATGATGCGAGAGCTCGCCGGTAAGTATGTTACTCTATCTTTCTAGATGCTTTGTATTCACCCCCGTCGATGGTGATGCAGTACTTGCTCCAGGTCATGAGCTCGTCTTGTCCATCGTCCAGAACCCACCTCCTTTGTGGACGGAGGGGGGGGGGGGGGGGGGGGGCTTACATAAGCAAGGCGCGGAAACCTATCTCGTCAAATACGCGCCTAGGTGTACCACCTGTTGCCCAACCCGTCCGACTATGAGTAGGAGATGGCCCACCAGCTTCTTTGCCTTGCTTCCCCCAAGCGATGAGAGCTCTTGATCATCGAGGCAGCTGTCGGCCCTGCAAAGCGGCGCGATTTCAGCGAAGCCCAATTATCAGGTCGTGAAGGGTTCGTTTGGTTCCCTCTGAGCATAACGAAATTCTCAGTCATGGACAGAGTGCCGTCGTTACCGTGGTATGCATATCCACTGGACGGCAATGGGTGCGGTACGTATGGACTATTTACATTGCCTTAGTCGCCGGAGATGCATTGCCAACTGCGCGCCTGCCTCCATGCCAAATCATATCGGGATTGCAAGGGCCTCGCCCAGCGTAAGTTTTTTTTCGACCCATTCGCACCACGCTGAGAATGGCTTCGCAATCTAGTAGTTTGCGTAGCCCTGCCGATCATGATTATACAAGTGGTACTATACAGTATTGCTCGTCTCGATTCAATATTCTTTGCTCCTGTTTCTCAAACTCCGAACGCTATAAGTATCCGCCGTCCAGATATTTGTCCCGACACCTGAGCTCGCAGAGGGAGGAGCGGACACTGACATCGCATTTGAGGAATCCGCGTTCGATGCCGGCACTGATCTCGATGCCGCGGACATCGAGATATCTCCTCGACCGTGGCGCTTGCTCTGTACCGATTTCACAGACGCGCCGGGTTTCCCCTTTGCCTTACCCTTCCCCTTTGCCTTACTCCTTCCCTTTCCAGTGTTTGTCTTTTTCAGCGGTGGCTCTGCATCACTTCCAGCACTATCACTCTCGATTCCGTGTTTCGACGTGCTCCCCACGAGGTCATCGGTGTCCGGCGGCTCCAGTCCAAGTTCAGACTCAGGATCGCTGCCAGGGTCTGACTCTGCGTCGAGATCCATGTCCGATGGATCATCCTCTAGCATACTGGCTAGTTTGCCTGTCGGTGGGAGATGATGTGTCACGGTGGCCAAGAATCGCATATTTAGGCTGGCAAGAGGATGCTTTCCGACGTCTTGATAGTCCCCGCGAGACTTGAGACCGGCGACCCTTCCCATGGCCGCAGATACAGGGCACGCAGCCACAACACGCAACAGGCTGTACGTCCCGGCAGTTGGCGTCATTCTATGTGGAAGATCCTTGAGAACCCTCAAGGTTTTCGTCACCAGCTGAGGGTTAGCAACAGGAGCGTGCTGGTCTCCATTCTGTCGAGAACGAGATCATCAGTATCCTTCTGAAACCGGGTGTGTACGCTCCTCACCTTGTTAATCCAAAATCTCGAAGGGGTGACAGATCGGATTGCATGGCGCAGTGTGGCCACTTTTAACGGGGAGCTTCCTTCGCCATACTTGGCTTGCAACGCGACCCAGAGCAGGGGCGCTGGTGAAGAACCGTCCAAAACTCTGAGCACGAATATCAGGTCGGGACCCATCCCATCGCGATTTTGACAGATCACTTGGCAGTGCTTGTACGTGCTTGTACAAGCCAGAAAAGTGCCCAAGCTGACAAGCTCGCAAGCTATGTCGAAAAATCGACAAGTTCGAAAAATAATAGTTTTTTCTGAGGCGTGCATTAGCATCTAGGCATCGTTTCCGTGCTTTTATTTTTTTGCAACAAGTGAACAAGGCGCACAAGCCGACAAGTAAAATGTTCTTTTACTGATGCCCTTTGGGGGGGAAACATATGAAGGTTCCAGCTTTGCGATGCTGCAGCCATTTCACGGTTGTCGCATGATCCGGACCCGCATCGAAGCCGTAGCTGAACGAAGGCCTGGCGTTGGGGAGGACCGGCGATATGTCCGGTGTTGGCCATCCGGAGTAGACCGAAACGAGTTCAGCCTCGTGAGCGGACCACGAAGGTATTGAACCATAGAAGTCGAATACTTGGTTGAGACGCGGCTTCTTCTCAAAAAGAACGGGGAGGGTGAATGCCAGATAATCTTCAAGCCCGTTCGAGTGGGTGGTATTCGACGATATTTGATTTGAATAATATGACGGGGAACTCTGTGCGATAGCAGCTAAATAACTTGTCGAGCTGTTTGCGATGCCTGAACTTGAAGCGGCGAAAGCGGCCAAAACCAGTGGCTCGTCAATGACGATACTGTTATTCTTGGTTGTAGATTCAGCGTGTCTGGCAATCCCATATTCGACGAAACGTTTTTCTGTAACCGTTACATCTGTTGTAAGACCTTCTCTGATCAGAGCGACGTTGACGATTTTTGCGATTTTTGAGACCATTTCGGGATCTTAACCAATCATTACATCGTGACCGTAATCAAAATAACAGGACGTACACTTGGCCAATTTCTCAAAATCGAATGAATTGAGCTGGAGATCTCCAGGCCCGGGCCACGAGGGATCTTCAGCATGTTCTTGCGTAACCCATTGTTGACCCTCGGTGGGCGTGATTCCAGCAAAAGTTTCAACGAACGCATTGAACAGTCGGTGGGGGCTTCGAAAACGCTGGCAAATGAGCTCTGAAAGAAATGCCGTTGTGAAACGATACCTATAATGACAAAATTGAGACCTTTTTATATTAAAGAACGAAGTACAGTACTCACCGCCCGTGCAGCCAGTAGCTCATTCGTTCTGTCAGAGCCTTCCCACTAGGCGTCCCAAAAATCCTGGGCGGAATGTATCGCTCCATGAAGGCGAAGTGCTCTGCGTAGTTGGTAAAAGCACCAACATTATTCAATACTTATGGCACATATACTGTATAATAATTAAAAAAACTCAACACCTTTGAAAAAAAATGTTAGAAATGACACTACTTGGACAAAAGGTTGGACAAAACACACAGGTCGAGACTGTGTTTCAAAAAAAAAATGGCACAGCTAGTATCTGAGTGCTGAAAACCACACAACTGAAACTTAGGCACTTTAAACACACCACCCATCCACACACCATTACCCTCTCGACCGAATCTGTGGCGAATCGGCAATCCCCGTATATGCTGATCCGGGATCGGCTCAAGATAAGATGTTTGCGGCCGATTGATGACTGCTGTACACACTAGAGGGCACGGCTTCTGGAGTTTAGAGCTCGATGAGTGGACCACAATTCGAGTTCTTGTTAGTCTTTATCTGGTCGCATCGTCCCATGGGCCATAGGGCACATCTGCACCCTTTTCATCATCATCTGAGATGGCTCAGTCTGATTCGGGCCTGAGTCAACCCAAAAAAATGATGTTCCGCGCAATGCAAAGATCCCAAGTCCAAGTTGCGTGTTTTGGAAGACATTAAGGGTTAGGAACAAGTTGCGTCACTTTACCAAGTCATGTGTGAATTACCTCCCCCACCAAGTGACGCGTATTTTTTCCCGCTGACCCAAGATGCATATTTTTAACTACGTTTGAGCATAATTATTATACACTATATGGCCCATAAATACTCGATGAGCATCAGGCTTTGAGACGCCGGAAGCCAGTACTTTGATAATTACGTCGCGGTCGATACCCGTACCAGATATGACCAACCAAAAACGAAGTGTATTGAACAGATCCATAACCCACGCGCGCACGATCTCGCGCAAAATAGGGCGAGAGGCCGAGAGGTCGGCATCTGATCGGAATGCAGAAAAATGACTACGAGCAGCGTATTGAGCTTCATCCAGGACAATGAAGAAGGGCACAGTGGTTCCTGGCGGCGAGAAAAACTCGTTGATTGTTTCAAATCGTTGAAGACCCTGCTCCTGGGTCCAGTCCATGGGGGAATTGAAAAGGATATTTGTAAGACCAACAAAAAAGTCGCCACCC